CCCCAAAGATCCAGTTGAGAAAGCCGTTGAGGAGCCAAAAGAAAAGAAGGTTGAAGAGGCCCAGCCTGCACAAAAAGTGCCTGAGATTGTTGAGGAGGCCCCACCTGAAGAGACCCAGCCAAAGAAAACTGTGGAAGAACATGTCAAGGAAAGCGAGCGTCTGGAGATGCTGGAGGACTCACAGGTTGTGGAACCCTTCCCTTCAGAGAAACGATGCTTAGAGAAAGATCTGGAGGAGGCTGCAAAAGATGATCCCACAGCGGCACCTTCTACCAAAGTGGATGCACCTGAAGGTAATATGACCACTGGTCGTCCGAAGGTTCTTGATGAAGTCAAGCCGATTTCGCCACAAGAGCAAAATCGGAAAACGGAAAAGGAGGAGGAAGAAGAAGAAGATGATGATGATGATGATGAGAAGGAGGCTTTTCACGTGGACGCAGAGGTCGTGGCCGTGGAAGAGGAAAAGGACGTGGCAAAGGAAGAAGCAGTCAGGCAAAGGAGAAAGCAGAGCCAAAGGCAAAAAGGAAGAACAAGAAGGATCAGGAGAATAGGAAGGACGAGGACCCAGAATGTGATCAGGAGGCTGATGAGGAATGTATGGAGGACAAGGCCGAAGAGCCTAGCAGGAAGAAGTGCAAGGAGCAAACAAAGAAGAATCAGAAGGTCAGTAGCAAGACTGAGAAGCAGAAGGAGCTGGCTGACAATGGGAAGGTCACAAAGAAAGGAAGACATAAGAAAGAGGAAGAGGAAGAGGAGAAGGCGACGCCAGAAACTGGTGATGGTGACAAGAAGAAACGCAAGATGAAGGAGGCCACGAAGAGCGTGGAGAAGACAAAGGGGAAGGACCATGCGGAAAAGGAGACAAGGAAGAGGAAACACGATGAGGAAGAAAATGCAGATGACAAGGAGGACTCGGCTGAGAAAGCAACAGCAGCTAAAGCAAAGAAGACAAAGGGCAAAGAGACTTCGGAGGAAGGCAGGCTGAAGAAGACACCGAAGAATGAGGAGGTTGAGGCAGAGGCAAAGGAGGAAGCAGAGGAAGGCAATAAGAAGAGAGCCAAGAAGAAGAAGGAGATCTCTGAGGAGGAGCTTGCTGAGAGGAAAGCAAAGCAATCCCGAAAGAGTTCGGCCTACCATACTGCGAAGCGCCAAGCCACCAAGGATGGTTTAAGCAAAGAAGAAATCGAGAAGAGAGCCAAAGCTGTCGGCGCCCCATATCAGTAACACTCTGAAGCCAATTGATTCTTACTTTTGGTGTGGCCCAGGCCTACAAGGATACCCAGTGAGTACGCTTTCACTGTTGATGGCTTAGCAAATGGCTGCCATCCAATTTGCCTAGGGGTATCGCACATGTGTGTGGTGAACCTTGAGGGTTTGTAGCTCAGAAGCACAATCCCTGCCAACTTCGTTCTTGATCACATGTGCACATGGGAGTGTTGAAAAGGTATGTACTTTCAAAGATGCCTCAGCTGCTTTTTCAACACTGTGTGCATGCACCGATGCGCAATTATATATAATTCTTCATCTAATGCCTTGGAGGTGCCCAGCCCATGCCAAAGACAGAGAACTGGGCATTCAAATTTGGAGGCTGGTTCCAAGCATCGTTCATAGCACCTGATCCGGCTGTCCTTCTGTCACAAGAGCACCAGAAAGGAACTTGCCTGACTTGATCTATGCATGCGTCTAGCATTTTGGATCTCCAGCACTGCTTTAGTTCTGAATCATGGAGAGCGTTTCTGAGTCTGTGGTGGTCAGTCTGATCCAACTGGGAGCGCCCAAGGCTAATGTCTTTTCTCTACAAGTCAGAATGGATATAATGCGCATATTTTGGTGGATGCAGTTCAACTCATAATCATGCATGTGATACTTGCACCCCTGACAGATATTTATCGGGATTTGCCTTCTGCTCATGTGGTCGGAGAATCTTCCTACGGTGGAGCCAAACAAACCTCGCTTCCAATTCCTTGACCTTTTTGCTGGAGTTGCCAATGCAACTAAGGTTTGGTGCACTGGCCAAAATAGCTATGCTAATTTTGCGGATGTGATCGACCAACCATTTTGCCCATTTCTTTTTGATCCCTGCCGCCTCCCAGGAAAGCTGCTGGGTATGCTTGCGCCACTGTCGATGAGAATCGGCGGCCTGGAGAGCGGGTGATGGACTTTCTAAAGCCTGCGGGTTTTTTGTGCTTTACCTGCACATTAAATTGTGCCCATGT